TCTCTGTGGAGCATAAATTAGATCGGATAAGTGTCGTCGCTGATGCAATGTCTAGTCGGCGGATTTGGGGCTGGCTGCACAGCTTTACAGTAAAATTAAAATAGCCAACGCTGCAAGGCAAATTAGCAGAGTCCCGGCGTCGAATCTGCTCGACGAAGTTTATATAAGCGCATGTACGCGAAAAATGACATGAGATTATAATTGATTACCTCTTGACTTCACCCTAGAAATGTTAGAAACTCTTCTAGAGATGGATCGGCCCTCTTCAAATTATTATACGGCTAAAAGTGTTCCATTGTCGTATACAGTGATCGCCAGAAACACACGTGTTATCGTTCTACCTTATAACATGATTTACCGGAGGATGATATATGCGTGTCATAATTCGTCAATGTACAGACAATGGGGACCCGTGAAAAATTGTATTATACGGTCAGCCACGACCTTAAATGATCACGAAAGTATCAATTATGCGCAAAAACATCCACGCTTACAAGATTTGCAAGATATGTGTCATCATTGATTACAGGAACGCATCAAAAATGTGGTTATATAAAAGCACAGTGCTCTGTCGCATGATACCAATTGTGTAACGGCGTGAGCCTGTTACATTAAATTTGATACGAATATATTATTTTTTTTGAAAATTACTTATTTAGATAATATTCAATTAACATCACTCGAGAAGATGTGATGTTGACAGAATATTACCCCCGAGGGTAATATTCTTTGGTGATCCAATTATAGGTTGATGTAGACGCTACATGAACCAAATCAACCACCAATTGCTGCTGGACGCGCGCAATGGGTGGTGAGCAAGAACCCACATAGGATATCGTAGTTTAATGATAATCAAATTACGACAAAGATGTTTGATTAAAGAAACTTGACTTTATTAATACAGTTCTACTTTTTCCCTGAAACAGAGGCTCCGGGTACTGGATACTCCCTCGCTCTCTCTCACGCCACGTGTACGGGACGTCGGGAGTACGCAGCCTTGTGTACCATCAGCACAAGGTCTTACCATACATATGTTAAGAGCGTGCTCTGTTACAAATTGCATCCCTGCAATCATATGTGTCATACAGAGCGACTTCTACTGCTCTCGACTTAAGAGAGCTTATAGATTCTATATACTTGACCTGCTGTCGTCTCGGTGTACGATAGGATCCCGAGTAAACGTGTTTCTGTCGTTGGGTCATGTCTATCCATTCTACCACAGATACCTAGTGCTCTACCATAATTTAATACAGGCGGAACTGACGAATCTTGTCGACAACGTCTGCAAGATATAGCATGAACATCGTATGTGCTTGTTCACTCACCTACTCGCCCGTTATACAATCGCGAGATGTAGTGCGCGCTGGACGTAAGAGTGTACATATCATTTAATCTGCCGGAGTAAAGGAGCTCTGATCGCCCTGGACTCATTCTCCGGCGGCTAAATTCGCCGGTCTGACCCGAGTCTTGGAATTTAGTAACGTTTCAAGCGCACATGAGCCGAGAAACTTAAGCGACATTGTCAAAATTCGGGCACGTTTTTCCGTGGAGATGGGTCGAATGAAAGCTGAATAATCTCGTCGATAATACGGCTATCCGGGACGATATCGAATTGGAAAGCATTCCTTGACTCTCCATTTTTAGTTCATACCTATCTTTATCGAGACGGTCTCGTCTTACGCCACATATTATCAAACTGGAAAGCATTCCTTGACTCTCTGATTTTTTGTCATAACTATCGTTACTCTTTTAGACTGACTGACGTGCATCGATCTGGTAACAGCAGCCTTAGTCTTCTGTGCGTTTATAGTTCGAACAAACATGCACCCTGTATCTCCACAGCACTGCAAGTTGAGGATTTTGCTGAAACATTGGAATTAACTTTCCGCACGCGCCAAGTTATTGTTGTCCGACTTAGCAATTGCAGCGTGTTGCTCGTCTTCTTTTACAACGAACAGCATGGCGCTTACGATGCGCCCGACAATGGTCGAACTTAAATGTCTTTACAGCCGCTCATTCGTTGTCAACTAAATTGGCGCCGCCTTCACACGTGGCGCGAAATCTATCCTCGTCCACGTCCAACAAGTTCATGGTAAGTGAAACGTCCATTGTTGTTGGACGGATTACGAAGTGCTACCAGTAGAATGGGGCAGCCCCCCTACATTAACAAAGTACAAGCTATGTATCGACACTGATAACGGTACATATAGGTTCCTAAAATTGTCAAGAACACTTTGTGGGCAGGCAAAAACTGATCTTACAGACGCGATCCTATACAAGAAGAACCAAGAACGATTATAATATATATCCATATATCTATATATTTATAAAGGCCACGACTAGGGGCACACCCCACTTTTGCTACGGGCACACCCGCCCACCTAAAATGATGAAAGGACTACACATTTTATAGTGCAATATAATATATGTAAAACACGTAGTCACTTACTACTGCTTCCTATCTCCCGACCTTATGCGGCAGATCCACTCTTGCGCGAGATTCTATCAATCCATCGTGGCCAGGGCGGTATTTAAACGAGCAATGGATGCTGGAATGTCGACTGTCTCGAACACGGTACCACTCCGATATTACGATGCCGAGTGACCTGACCATCGGCACTGGCAACGACTCGTTTTTTTCGACGCTTTTACCGAGACAGGCACGGGCAACACACATACGGTTTGTAGTATGTGTAGACTTTGAGGCTACGGCCTGTGACGAGGTCGTACTGGTACATACCGTTAAATGTCCCACCTCGGTCAAATCATTTCGGGTAAGAAGATGCAAAAAACAATTACGCACGAAGTATTTCATCAACATGCTGGAATTCCGTCGCTTCATTCCACCGTCACTGAGGTTATGACTGTTCTATAGATCTCGCCACGATCGCACTTGCAGTAGACCAGTTGCAGACCCCGCTTCGTTTTCTTTAATCTGGCGACGATGATGGCCTACCCTTGATAGCCGCAAAACCGTTTGAAGTTGTTGTCCATTTCGTTCCTGGCAAAAAAGATGGTACCATTGAGAGCAGCAGGTGGGGTTTGAAGCTATTCCAGCGACGGTTGTCCCTCTCTCGGGCTTTCGTACGCCATTTCGCAAGTTCAGCTGGTGTGTGTGTTATTATCCTGTGTTTTCAGTCGTATTGTATGAGTATGAGTATGAGGGGGCATAGACGCAATCGCGCGGCCAAGACAGGTGAAAACGACATGTTCTTCTTCTTTTGCAGTAGATGAAATTCACGTCCTCTACCTTGCCAGATTTCTAGGCCACTATCAGCAATTCGGTACAGTGCTTCTACATACAATTGTTCTGTGCCGTACACGCACGTCATTCTACCCTATAAAATGTGAAGTCTTTTTTATCATTTTAGGCGGGCGGGTAGCTCGTAGCGAAAATGGGACGTGCCCCTAGTCGTGGCCATTTATTTATAATTGTTGAAGTTTTCCTAATTATATCTAATTTTTTTCGTTAACATACAAAACCGAATTTTAAGCAGCTACTCGCTCATCTACCCATTGCGCGCATCTAGCAGCGATTCGTGGTTCAGATACAATGGCCGTTTATCGACTCATGAGTGGGGTGGTGCTGAAGAGTCTATCCTTTGTAACGGTCCAGCAGTTTTTAGAGAGAGATGATTCATGCCTATCTATTACACATGATGATTATGCGCTACAAGTCTGAAATCTTCGAAGCCGAACATACAGCGCCGGTCGCGGCGGTGTTCCATGGCACCCCTCTAGTGGTAGCGAAACCCCGCTAGCCTCAAGAGTAAAAAGTTCAAGGGAGGCATGTAATCTAGCCCCTTGAAGCACTGTCGCCGCCCCTCTATGTTCACGCATAGCCAAGGCCGTAATCCAGCAATTTTTATTCAACCAGGTAGGTAGTATGGAATCTTATCTGTTACGAGAATATTCGAATTGGCCCTTCTGGTGTCAATGACGTGGAACGGGCTCACCCCATTACACTGGCGACCTGGGTACGAAGTTTGTGTCACTTTGCGACGAAAAGCTACATAGCACGTGCTATGGAGAAGAGGGTCCGTCCGGTGGATTACTAAACTGCAGCTTTTTCAATCGCCCTTGAACGTATCGGTAAGCTTAAGGGCCCGGCTCATGTGTTCCACCAAATTGCGTCAGCCTGTACATAGCGGAGATCTGCTGACCGCTCCAGAAAACCAACCATGTTGAAATACAATCTGCATTTGGTGCGTGCGACACACACACATGTGGACAATACAAATGGCCGCAGGGCGTAAGCTTGCGACAAGGCAGGACAGCTCGGGCCAGTTTGTTTACCTCGGCTCAGCATCTGCATCGGAGTGACGCTAGCTCTTGGCCCTTTCTTACAACCAATCGCGGGAGGCTGGAGCTGGTAATAATCATGGCCAGCTGTACGCAATGAACCCTCCCCCTGTCTGCGCATCGCACCGGCTGTGCACATGTGATAGTGAGAGAGAGATAGGAACAGAGAGTCTATTACACGGTTTTAATGTGAACAAGACCTCTGGAATGTCCTAAGCCAGATTAGCAACGCCGGTGTCGAATTGCCCGGTGGCTGTACGTGACTCACCACATGATGTGATGTTCTAGAAGGCGCGCACATGTGATAGTGATTCCTTAGGTCGTAGCGACGTCCTATCCTGTCGTTGGATCTTGACGCCATGCGCAGCGGTCAATCATTGAGTTATTATTGAACTTGTCACGCTGTCGAGGGTGACGGCTGGATGCACAGAAGCTACGCTCGAGTGAACGCTCGGCATATGGTCGCAAAGGAAGCCGATTACGATCAACTGATTTTTTTCGGTCTGCGCGAGTCTGGCTCTCGCTTGAGCGCCGCTCTCGTCCCCGTAACGTATGGACAGAAGTGTCCCAATTGACAATACAAGTTCTGCTCATTGCAGCGCAATGTATTCTGAAACACGGCCCTATCAATCGTCACTCTTCAATTTGCCTCTTACACTTCAAAGCGCGCGACCTCAACCACCAACTCTTGATCAACGATGCATGTCAAGTCCTTCCTGGTCTTTTGCGCGGCTGCTGTCGCCTTCACGTCCGCCGCCAACCCACCTGTCCAGCAGGAGGACTTGAACACGCCCGTCCCGGAGAGCTACCGCTGCAGCTTGGCCGGTGGATGCGGCGGCAAAGGCCCCAAGGACGAAGCTGCCTCTGCGACGTGCTACAAGAAGGATCCTCGGATCACCCAATACATTCAGTGCTGCAGGGAGCAGTGCCCGGAGAAGTCGATCAAGCCGGAGTATACTTGCCGCGCGGCTGGAACGGAATGCAACAACCGCGACGAATCCGTATCGGTGTTTTGTCGCGCATCGTCTACGAACTGGGCCGATTTGAGCGTGTGCTGCGAAAGCCAGTGTGCAGGCTCCGAAGTTCCAGCGTCCTACGTGTGCCCAAATGTTGGCTACACGTGTAAGGGTTCCGACGATGTCGCGGCGTTGGCGTGCCACTCGCGTCATAAATCCGTTAAAGGATTCACGGAGTGCTGCTCTCAGACGTGCTCGCCTATTCCTTCTTTCGTCCGTGGTCACTAAACATTCCCGGTCAAGTGATGAGGGCAGGAGCGTTTTGACAAGCATTTGACGCCGAAGGAGTTTACTCGCCAGCCGCTACGGACGTAGCAACTGGACGATGACGGAGTTTAAGTACAAAGAAATCGACGTTGCTTGGCGAGTCTGTTTGTGTTCCATTGCCTTTCTCTATGCGGTGGTTCTAGTGGTCGTGGTTGTGATCGATGTATGAGTAGTTGACTGCCGTTTAGCAAAGAGTAGTGAATCGAAGAGGACGACGTAGAGTCAGCATGCGTTGTGTCGGAGCGACCGTATCGCGAAAGCTTGTTCAGCCATGCTGATCAAATGGCAGAGAACGCGTCTCTCAGGTGCAGTGCTATACTGGTGCTAGCACTCCATTACTACAACAAAAGTAATGCGTGACTTCTTCGTCCATCGGCGCTACTCATCTCCCATAGATCGATTGACAACCATCAATGGATGCCCTGGAATATACACGACTTAGTGTCGCGACTGGGCGCTAAAAACCTGTCGCAGTGATCCAGCAATGTCATCGCATTCGATCCACTTTGTATCTTCTATTCATGCGCTGATGTTATTCAAACCATCACACGCATGTCCACGACCTTCTAGCGCTGCCCAAGGTCTGCGTCCTTTTCCTCACTACATAGAGAGACACTTCCACGCCCCTCTGCTACCGTACCACCGCATCGTTGTTGTTGTTCTACGTCGTTTCTGCCACGAGGTTGTTCTGGACATACAATTCCATACGATTACTCTCCCCGCTCGGCAGCCGCCTTGCTCTTCGACATGGCGTCGTTCGTCACGGCCATATGTCCGTCCGCTCACTCTCGAGCGTCCGCGCGTACCAAGTTCATGCACCACTGACATCGAGCTCGACCACCGCTGCCAGTGCATCAGCTGCCAATTGGCTCTCCATGTGCCTCGCTCTCTTTGCCTCCCAAGACGACGTGATGGTCGTCGTGTGCTTGAATCGGAGCTCGCTTTTCTGTTGAGCTGCGTCACCGCAGCAGCAGCTGCCACTTCTTGTGCAACTCTTTAGGTGCACAATAGGCGCATGTACCTGCACCTGTACGCCAAATCTGTTGCCGCCTTTGACATGAGTCACCAGCAGTTGGATCCCGAGCTGCAGCAGCTGAAGTGCGCTCAAGGGCTGCGCGATCTCGTCACTCACGACACACACAAGCGCCCGAACGTCACTCTTCAGGACCACGACAGAAGACGCGGCCCCACGGCCTAGAACTAGTGCACGCGCTCCTTGGAGGGCACGCGGTCGCTCAAGTGCTGCTGCAGGAGCGCCTGAATGTGCACCACGCGGTGTCTGAACGTTGCGGCGAGCGCGGCCTTAGAGGCCCCGACAGTCGTCGAGTTGGGTGCGACCATCGTGACGGGAGCAAAAACAGCCAATTTGGTGCTGTTGGAGGTTTTGGGTTGTTTTCCATGTCGTTCAGACTCGATTTGTGTTTGTACGCGTAAGTAGTGTCAGACTTTATTGACGCTATCTATCTGATAATAAAGAGTTTGTAAAGAGTGTGCTTTTCATCCCACACGGGCGCGACGCAAATGGGAATGACGGGCTATTTATGTCAAAGGATGGAAGAGCTTTGGCTGCACGAGCGACGCAATGGGAATGAGACCACTCACGGGATCTGCTGGCGGTTAGTGCAAATGGATGATTGATGATCCGACATTGGACTAAAAGAGCACACCATTCTTGCTACCAAATATAGTCCCAGGGGAGTTCCAACAAAGGGACCTACGATGATACATAAAAATCAAAGAAACATTTACCAGAATCAGAAAAAGCCCTATTTGCCACAGGATTTAGATATGCAGAATGTCCTGAGATCATTATAAAAAAGAGATAACATACGCCACGAGATTGAACAACATAATCCGTGGTCCAAACAGCTATTTGATACATATAGATACATAGCCACTCTAGAAATACAATCATTGCGTAAGAGCAAAACTTTTTGCTGTTTTCGTTGCCATCCGTAGTCAACAGGACAAAAACGTCATTTTGGGCACGCAACTGTAAAGCTTCGTATAAACGAAGGACAAGCAAACAAAATCAGCGCTATCAATTGTGGTACTATTTCGTATTCAAAAAGGACGAGGCGACTAGATCAGCGCTATCAATCGTGGTGCTGTTCGTAGCATGATACTCCTATTGTAACGGGCCACGCCTTGTGTCAATTCGACACAAGGTTGTGTGCACCCGACGTCACGTACACGTGGCGTGAGGAAGCGCAGCGGAGTAAGCAGAGCTCGAAAGTTCTGTCCAAGGGAAAAAGTAGAACTGTATTTAATATAGTCATGTTTATTAATAAACCATCTTTTGTCTTGAGCTAACTATATTAAACTACAATCTCCTATGTGGGTTTCTTGCTCACTACCCATTGCGCGCGTCCAGCAGCGATTGGTGGTTGATCTGATTGATGTGCCGTGGACATCAACCAACAGGCGGGGCAACCCATCAAAGAAATATTACCCTCGGGGGTAATATTCCTTCAACCTTCTCCCTTTCGGGTAAATTCAATTGAATATTATCGAAATAGAAAAATGTTCAAAAATGGTACAAAGATATCAATTTTTGTGTAACAAGCTCACCCCGTTAAAGCTAAGCAGGCATGATGTGCAGTCTAGAGATTAATTTTCAGCTTGTTTACACCATTTCAAGTCATCTCGTACATTTCTTTTCTCTAACACAGAGACGCATAGTTTGAACAAGGTGGATACTGTTCATACAGCCCGTGGAATCCGTTAATCGACCTTCACGCATAATCATCGACCTTCATCGCCCTTCAACGATTATGTTTAAATTAATACAAAAGCTAGTAAGTGCTAGATGTAGTGGTCGCAACTTTAGAAAAAGAAAGAAAATTACTAGCTCCGCAATATAATGTCGCCGAGATGATTTGCACGATACAAATACTAGGTGGAAGCGACGAACAAACTTTGTTGAAATAATGTATAGTTGCGGAACGGCATACGCAGAAGCAGTTATGATGTGTACATATGCTTTGTAGATACCGTGTATCATCGCGTGACGCAACACGAAGCGGGCGCTTGCGTAGTAGCTAATCTTAATCAGTGCGTTCAGGATTCTGCATTGATTAGCGCAACGCATCTCATTGAGAAGCTACCAGTCGCCAATGCCCTTTACAATTTCCATCATTGGTGACGTATGTACAAAACATAATATTTCCATTCGCAGTTGGCGGAAAGTAGCTGAAGATATACATCCATAAAATATTGGCCGTACATTGACTGTACATCGGAAGACGAATTAGTGTAGTGTGGTGTAGGTCATTTCCGATCGTAATATTGCCTACTTTTGATTTGATTATAGTAGTGGCGAACTCGACAAGAAAAGCCAAAGCACATCGAAGTCGTCGAATCAAGGCTCGATGAGACAAGACTCGACCAGACAGGACTCGGAAACGGAAGACAACACGAGGGAAGACTCGACGAGCCAAGACTCGATGAGACAAGACTCGACGTGGGACGACCCGACTAGAGAGCAAGATGATGGTCAGTCCATACTACTAGGTATTAGCATAGGACGACGAGGGAGATGAAGGAGAACCCCTCGAGAGTTTTTTGAAGTTTGGGATGGAATAGGAGATAATCAATACAGAGCAGAATTGTCCAAGTCCAAGACACGTGTACACTTTTGAGGTAAGTCCCTGCGTGGGTTGGATCATGCCTGCTGTCGAGCCTCGAGGAGCGTACCTTGTAGAGGTCTCGGCGGAAAGCGCCAAGAAAGAAGTCGGCCCGGGGTGGGCATTACTCGCTTCCAGCAAAATACCAGTCTCGTCGCACGGCGAGCCGGTGACCCAGTAGACGACCCCACTATACGTATCGTCGCACGGCAAGCCGGTTACCCAATAGAAGGTACCGCTTTGAAGTCTCGTCGCACGGCGAGCCGGTGACAAAGTAGACGAACCCACTATAAGACTCGCGTACGGCGAGCCGGTTACTCAATAGACGGCACTGTCCAAAGACTCGTCGAGCGACGAGCCGGTGGGTCTTTAACCAAGGTCACCGTGAGTCTTCTAGTCGGGTGTATACCGCGCCCGGTGACCTGTAAAAGCGTCAAAACTCCGACGTCTACCCGTTGGTGCGAGGTCACAGGATTAAAAGTACGGAAGCTGCTGAGCTCAGGCAATCTTCTGGAAAAGAGTGTGAGTGGTTGGAGGTACTCAGCTAGGAAAGAGCCACAACTGAACCGGAAGGGGAAAACTGCGAAGGGCATTTTACCCGACGTATAAGTTCAACTTCGCCGACTAGCTTGGCGATTGTTGTGTTGTTCCGTTGAGACTGTATTGTCACAGATCTGACGAACTACTATACCACAAAAGTATCTCCGAGTGATACTTGCCCGAATTGTAGTTTCATTGTGGCAATTGGTCGGACCATTTAACGTTTACATAAATATGGATCAGGCCGCATTTTCGACAAAGTAGGGAGCCATGCATCTACACAACATTACAATGATCATTTGAATAAAGTTATGCGTTATATTGCTTGTTTATAATTTTGTCGACAAACGAAATGGTAAAATTTAAAGCGATAATTAGTCCCAAAACGCCGTCTGACACCAACTGAGGTCGCGAATTCTTAAGCTTGCATACATTGATAAAAAATGTGTGTGTATGAATGAACGGCACAATCCAAGGCTTTCGTAAGACTATGCAAATTTATAGTTATGGTATAATTTCTTCTTGAGCGTTTAATGGGCATTTACTATAATAATTTTGTGCTTTCTAGTTGTTGGGTAAAAATAAGACCTTATTGAATGTTTTAATATCTTGGCCTGCCTTCCTTATCATTCAATATATTGTGTTTTCGAGCCGGTGAAGCGCCAATACTTGTACGTGTGTCTTAAGTACAATATCTAAAATCATGCGAAAGCTTCTTTCTTTGTGTATCCAAACGTTTATAAGGCTGTGCCACGCACTCCGTGTTTGGTCCGTTGCAGCAAGGAAATAAGCGTT